TTCGAATTTCCTCTCTTGCATCAACTGTTTCATGCTCTAAGTCCTTGAATCTTGTGTCGAGGAAAGACACTATTTGTCTAGCAGATACGACACTAGAAGGAGTCCACAGTAATTTAAAACGGTCTGAAAGTTCTCTGATTACAGTGGTTTTAAAATGTTCAGCTATTTCTTCATCACTTATATTATGCTTTAAATGCTTTTCTATAACTGCGTTTAGAAGCGGCCTCACTATTGAACTAGAACAATATTTTTCCCCACAAAACACAGTGGTTATAATTTGTAGAGGCTTAAGCAATTTTATTAGTGTTTCTACATTTGTCCATTGGTGCTCTAATACTTCAAATTTGTGTACCATCGCTGCTGTAGTTAACGAACGATCAGCAAGAACATTTGAAATTGGGCACCTATTTTTATAAATTCGACCAAACATCATAAATATTGAATTCCATCTGGTTTTACAACTTTGAATTAAACTTTCTGTTGGCATACCTAGTTGTTCTTGCTTATCTTTTAAATATTGACTAGCTAAATTTAAATGCTTAAAATTACAAACGATTTTACTACATAATTGAATTAAATTATCTATTTTATCATATTTTAGGGCATTATTGACAGCAAATTGTAATGTATGTGCAGCACATGTTATATCATTCTTTTCTGTAATGTTATCCAGTAAATTAACTGCATTCAACACATTTTTTGCTTTGTCGGTAATTACTGTTGTAATTTTTTGGTCAATATCCCTATTATTAAAAGTTATTTTTAATTGATCGGATAAATTTGAAGCTGTATGACGATCGTCTAATTTGTGAGTTATCAGGATGTATGATTTTGGGCACCACTGGTCATCGATAAAATGTGCAGTAACTGTTATGTACGATTCTTGTGCTATTGATGACCAACAGTCAAATGTACAGCTTACACTTTTGGCATCTTTTAGTTTTTTTTTTATTAAATCTTCAACCGACGATTTGAATCCTTTGAGTCTTTGTTTAGTAGCACCTTCCTTACAGATAATATAATTTGGTTCGACTATACTCATAAATTGTTTAAATCCGGAACTAGAACAAAAGGATAAGGGCATTTGATTGATGCCGATCATTTTAGCTAACGTCTGATGAAATTTTTCTGTTCTTTCTGAACTACAAATTCGGTTTTTTTCAAAGTTCTTATTACTATAAGTTCTACGTCGTTTACGGGGTTGTGGTTCACGAAATTCTGATGATGAGGATGAACAATCGGTATTTAATAAACTAGTTGATGATGACGATGGACACTGTGTTAAACCAACAACTGTATTACACACTTCAACTTCATTAAGATCACTAGGAAATAAATTAAATAAATTTTAAATGAATTAATTTATTTTATTTTATCATTATGTGATTAAAGCTTTTCAAATTTGCAATCCCGTCCATTTTTCATTTGAATTATTACAAATGAATTGCATTTATACATACCTTTGATTTTGAGTGTTTTTGCTTATATTGTGTATACATTTTAAATGTCTGCCGATTGAACCCGTTGATCCACCAGCACAACTAAACACTTTGTTTGAATTATCATCATCACAAAAAGCTTTATCACCTTTGCGTTTGCCGTATTGCCATACCCAACTTTTAAATCGATAACTCATTTTTCAAAGAAAAAATATTTAATATGTATAATACAAATGTCAAGATCTAAACTTCACGTGACATGTAGTAATATTGAACACATGAATAATAAGGTACAGTATGGACTATGGAACAATTTTAAAATCATCAAAAATATTTAGATAAAAAGCATATATAAATAGTAAGTACATAAATGAAGTGCAATAAAATTGGTGATAAGAGAGCTTTGCGAATATTTATGTTTAAATAAACTGTCTTATGCCTTATTATACTTATAGTTTATAGTGTTTATACCTATATAATATTATACGATAAACGACAAATGCATCTTACTAATTTTTAAGCTTAATTAATAATAACTATAAATATAACTTATAATATATGATTATTAAGATAATTAACTTGTTGTGCTATTTAATCTTCTAAAGAGTTAGGAAAAGTTAGCAAAAATATATTTATATTTAAAGTATATTTTAATTCTGAATTAATATACAATGTACAATAAATACACGGGTATTATACACGGGCTTTAATATATGTTTAGTCCGTGTACCTGGAGTCCGTGTATTCTAATATCCGTTCACAATCGCGACCTCTAATTATTTATATAATGTCACAAAGTCGTGCCGCAGCAAGAAGGGACAGTGGTGCCTACGCCCCGGGCGCAAAATCGTAAAATGAATAATTTATGTTAAACGTCTGATATTATTTGCTTACATCTACAATGTCATTTAGATTTATTGGTACTTTGGGTAATTGGTCGAAAATTGTATTTAGTTTACTACTTACAAAAATTGATGAACTGGGATATCTTTATCAATCGATCGGATGTCGAAGGAAGAATTCGGTGAAATACCGGACTGTAAAATATATTAGCTACGCATATAATTAATAGAAAATATTATCGTNATACTTTGGGTAATTGGTCGAAAATTGTATTTAGTTTACTACTTACAAAAATTGATGAACTGGGATATCTTTATCAATCGATACGGATGTCGAAGGAAGAATTCGGTGAAATACCGGACTGTAAAATATATTAGCTACGCATATAATTAATAGAAAATATTATCGTGCTGCCGTCTCAATGCTCATCTATATATTTATAAATATAATATAAGTTTTTTTTTCTCTGAGTATTATTTTAAGTCAATTGAATACGGAAAAGTGTTAGCTAATGATTTCGGTATTAATACAAATTTTTCTGATAAACGAAAAAGGAAAGTAAAAAAATTAGACTTTGAATTAATTAAAGACGATATGCAAGTATAATCTCAACAAAGTGAATTCAAAAAACATACATGTGAAGTTTATGACCGAATTTTTACTGAACTAAAAAATCGATTTGAAAAACGTCTGAAATTGCTAAAGACTTTGAATTTTTGTATGGTAGTAGCTTGATGGATAACTTATTGGACTATATACAAAAATGTGCAATAGACCTATCCCTTAAGTATGAAATCGATCTAAATGCTTCCGATTTTATTTTTGAAATAAAAGGTTGTAAGTCTCAAGCATTATATCTTTTACCCGACTTAAGAGTCGCAACACATTTAAATCTACTTCAATTAATTACAAAATATTCTTTACGTTCTGAGTATCCAAACGTAGAAATAGCCTTACGCATATTTTTGACTTTGCCAATATCTGTGGCGATGTGTGAAAGATCATTCCGCAAGTTAAAACTTTTTAAAAACTTGTGATGTACAAGTTGAAATTTAACTCGTGTACGACCGATTCGAAACGTGTTCGCTCATTGTTCTTTAATCGTCATAAATTGTTCGACTATTAAGCACTTAAATTTTTTGTTCTTTGTTCGCCATCGTTTTTTAATACACTAATCACCATTTGCTCGATTAGTGTACCCACATTGTTTTCTTGTTCGCCCTTATTATTTTGTAAATAGTTCCGTGACATTAATATCGATGTGCATTGTATAATCCGTTGTGTGTTTGTGTTGTACGTTTACCATCTATAGTTACATCGTTAGTAGATGTTTCAGTCACTCTGACACTTTATCCAATCTCCTCAAACTTCCACCAGATAAGTTCTAGATTTTATTTCATCATTCATACTTTTCAAGTTATACAATTAACATTGTTAGTATGTAAGATACTGCTCTCTATACTTTTTAAGTTTTGCACAACTATAATATATATTTTTGTTTTTTATAAGCATAAAACGGGTGTACCTATTTTTCACAGGTATTTTTTCATATATTTCATATATATTTTTTGAGTTTTAAACAATATTTTTTTTTTATTCATTCTCAGGAAAGATGCCAAACTAGTAATCTCTATTATTAAAGATGATAAGGACAAGTATTTATTAAGGTTTGTGGATGTTGGTGCAGTTTATGTTGTTCGGACGAAAACATTGGTATTGATAATGCTATTAAATTTTTCCACGTGATTTTGTGAAAATGGATAGTGAAATAAAATTATGGTTGGCACGAAAAGCGAGAGATGAAAAGGCTGAAAATTTCTCTGATTACGAAGAAGAAATAGATAACGAATACAACGAAGAGAGCAAAGCAGAAGAAAATTCAATGACGATATATTAATTATGTATTTTATATTAATTCTTATTTTTGTACGTATTAATTAGCTTTTAAGTACCTACTTTATTTTTAATTACGGAAGTATTTATTTATTTTATTTATATGTTCTATTTACCATTGGAAAACGAAGGCAGCTGCTACTACGAATTATTCAATTTCCGTAATGGCAATTAACAGTACAGTGTAAAAAATTCATTCTCTATGTAAATGCAATTTCATTATTAGTTATGATAATTCTTTGTATTCTCGTAAATTTTCGTTGTATAATTTAACCAAAAGACATTTCACGTAAAGAACTTGGGTTCAAAAATACATTTTTGAAATTAAAAATTAATCGTACACTCGAAAGAGTAATATAAATATTGAATATATCGATACATTTTTTTAATGTAATTCATTTTGTTGCGCACTTATAAATTTTGTTGAAAACTATTTTAGTTTTTCAAAATAACTTGCAATTATTTTTACTAAAAAAAGTATTTATTTTTTTGATGATAAAATTAAAACTCTACCATTTGATCAACGCTCTATAACAAATATATAATCTAAAATCTATAATCCATTAAAATTCAAAATGTTTCACAAAGATATGTGTTAAATTCATTTGTACGATTAAAAAGGGTGAATAAAATATCTGTTTCCCAACGAGATCACATTTCTCCACTCCTACTCGACTAGGTATACCGTTTGACTCAACACTGTACTTTCCAACACCCATTTATTAACAATCCAAAATATAATATATTTTGGATGGTATTGTATTATATTATATTATAATTCGTGATAATAATAGCATTGGACAGTATAAGTAACTTGAAAAAATTCAAAAATAAATTCATTTATTTATATTCTACAAATTTAATATATATATATATATATATATGTATAGAACTCCTCATACTGGTTACAAGAATGTTCTAGGAATATTACACTTAGAGTCATTAAAAATGCGTATAATTTCTCTTTTCTCTTTAAACTCTTAAATAATAAAATTGTTGACTCTTATACATATGTATATTAAGCTTGTTAAACTTTAAAGTAACTAACCGCAACTAGAAACAAAAATTTTTTTTTCATTCGCCAGTTCAATTCATCTTAACTATTTTCTCATTGTCATACCAAATCGTTTTATTGTTATAATAATTCTATGTATTTAATTGTAAATATTTTGCGCATCTTTATATGCTACTTTTATTGGTATAATATGATATATATTTTTATCTAAATTTTATTGCTGTCCATATACTATCAACCATTTGCTAATTAACCATTATTATATTTTATTAGCATTTACTAACCTATTTACTCACTAGCTTTATTTATTTATGTATGTTAAAATTGAACATTTGTCCGTATAAATGTATACGTTTAATACATATACAATGTATACGACTATACAGCTGTATTTTTCACTGTAGAATATAATAAAATTGTAAAGAATATTTATATCTCAAGCTAAATTATTATTGTTTAATTTATGTTTTTGTCCAAACGTCGCGTTTTATTTTCAATAACAAATACGACACCAGTGAAAACACTACGATCCACGATAATATAGACATATATCCCAAGTATACAGATGGATGATTAACTTTCAGTCCTTTTGCTGTTAGCGATCTCAATGATTCCGTGGATAGTGTGAGAGGTAAATAATAACTGACATTCCGTAATAAATAGTGTATACCCTCGATTGGCCACATCATTCCTGTGTTAAACATTTTTTTTAATTAAAAAAAAAGAATATGAACGTACATTATTGACATTATTCAAAATGTTAATTAAACTATTCTAAAATAATCAATTAAACTACAATAAAATCTTTAGCTAGTTTCTAAAAGCTGATATGTCAAATGTGAATTTTTTTTTCGGGAGGATAAAAGTAGATTTAAAATTTCAGTTGAGTTTAATGAACATAATTATTTTTAAATTAAAAAAAACATAACTTTTCTGATAAAATAAACCGGCCGCCTTCGTCATAACCGCACATTTTCTGAAAAAGATTGCGTACACTTTATTTTATTACCTAGAAATCCATGGACACGTTTAATAAAATAATATTCGTTTATCACATGTTTACTTATAAGTCGCAGTATAATAATCGTGATGAATTCTCAGTGAAATCGCTACTTTTGTCCATAAAGTGCCAACCCCGTTATAGAATAGAGGTTCTCAATCGGCGACGGTATACAAAAAATTGGCTTTCAGATTTTTTCGCAAACATAAAAAAGTATCGACTAACTGAGAATATTGTAATTTTAAGTCTTCTCGTGTCACAACAATGACGAATTCACAAATATTCAATCGATTGTAAATAATAATATAAAAATAATCACAACTATTAAAAAAAGGAGTTAATTTGGATCTCAAACAAGTTTGTGATATACCTTAAAATGTAATAGCGAGGACATATATATATGTTACAGTAAATGATGTTAAATTTATATTGACGTTATTAACTAGTAAATAACAATAATTACCAAACAAACTAGTGATTATCGTGGTTTATTAATTTTTTGGTTTGATTATCGATAATTTCTACACACGATGGAAAATGTTGTTATATAATGTTATCATAATGGTAATAAATACTAGATAGTATAACTCATTTCTAACCATTGATGAGTACAATATTCGTATTGAACAATTAAAACATTCAAAATTTGTGTTGAAAACGCCAGGAGAAAAAAAGTCTATGAAAGATTATTGAATGGTACGTAAATATGATATTTTAACAATAAATAATAAAGAGCGTCTTATTAAACCTGTAAATAACGATACTATACTATATTACGTTACAATTGACGAGTTGTTCAATATTTTGCATTCGACTCATTCTACTATTGGCCATGGCGGAAGATGTAGAATGGATTCTGAATTAAAATCAAAATATTGCAATATCACGAATGAAACTATTATGGCATATTTAAATCTATTTATTGTCAAAAAAAGTCGTCAAATCTTAAAAGAGGCTTAGTTTCAAAACCTATTTTACATTCCACTTTCAATTCAAGAGCTCAAATCGATTTAATTGATATGCAATCACAAAATATTAATGGATTTCATTTTAAATTATCAAGATGTCACTGTAAGATGAAGTGTAAAACAAATAAATACACCTGTCGAGTAGTTGGGAAATTATGCAATTCGAAATATCACAGTTCATTATCATGTGAAAATAAATAATAATATAAAAATTTAAATATAAATAACACGATTAACTAATATTGTTTGGAATTATCGTAAATCCTTAGTAATTAACGTTATAAAGCTTGTAAAGTATTCATTATTATCTATTAACATTAATTGCTAGTTAATAACGTCAATATAAATTTAACATCTTTTACTGTAACATATATATATATATGTATATATGAATAACTTATAAAAATTATTTGAAAAGAATTGAGTAATTCATTAGTTATTTCTGAAAATATTTATGCTTCGGTGAAATCGATGTATCGGTGGAAGCGACAAAAGTTTCTACCTTTTCTCGCTGAATTCTTCCAACAAACTACAATTAAAGTCAAGGACCCAAGTATAAAATATTAAATAACGGCTAATAGTAGTGATATGTCTGAGTAATTTAAAGTTGACCCCAAGACATATCTTCATATCAAGACATAAAACGTCACATATGACGTTTTGATTTATCGACTCGTTAATTTACCTCGACAAAAGAAAAAGTGTGTGCGGTTTTTAACGACGCCCAAATGAACATATTATTTTCTGGCCCCGCCCGTTATTTGTCCCCCCCCCCCC